GGGTCCCTGGGGAGATTTATGTGGGGATCTGTGGGGCAGACGAGATTTATGGGGGGATTCATGTGGGGATCTATGGGGCAGAAGGGATTTATGTGGGGTTCTGTGGGGCAGAGAGGATTTATGGGGGGATCTGTGGGGCAGAGGGGATTTATGTGGGGATCTATGGGGCAGGGAGGGAACAAAGGTTGGAGAGGGTCCTTGTGCAGACCTATGGGGCAGGGGAGATCCGTGGGGCAGGAGGGATCCGTGGGGCAGGGAGGATTTATGGGGGGATCCGTGGGGCAGGAGGGCTCCGTGGGGCAGGGAGGATTTATGGGGGGCTCCGTGGGGCAGGGAGGGCGGGACGCTGGGGAGGGGTCGCCATTGCAGGTGCAGGTGAGGGAGGGCCGGGCCCTGGCGGCCCTGGGAGGGTGGGAGCTGCTCCGGGGGCTGCTGGTGTTCGCCCTCTGCTCCCAGCCCTGGCTGCAGCGGGACCCCGAGGCGGTGAGACCCCCTCCCCAAAACGGGGACCCCCGCCCCACCGAGAGACCCCCAGACAGCCCCACACAGAGGCACCCTCAGGCCTTCCCGCCATTTCCTGCCCTCAGAAGCGACCTCCAAACCTCCCCACCTTGCCCCATAAAGGCCCCCAAATGACCCCCAACCCCTTCCCAGCCCTACAGGTGACCCCTAAACCCCCAGACTCACCCCTCGTCTCTTCCTGGGGGGAAACCGGGGCATCCCCTCGGTCCTGTTCCCTCATGGCTCCCCTCCTTCCCTCAGGGAGCGGAGACCATTTTGTCCCCACGGGGCTTCCATTCTTATCCAGCCCCTGACAGTTTCCCGCCATTTCCTCCCCTCACGCTCCGTCGCCATTTTCTCCCCATCCCGCCCCACATCTTCCCCCATTCCCCGCAGTTCCTGCGGGCGTCCCGGCGGGTGCTCGGTCCCCGCCTGTGGCGGGCGCTTCTCTCCGTCTCCCTGTGGGGACAATTCGCGGTCGGCCGGAGCCCGGCGGCCGTGCAGGAGCTGTCCCAGCGGCTCCGGGCCCGGGGCCTGCGCCCGATGCTGGCCCTGCCCATCGAGGGCGAGGGGCCGGATGGCGAGGGGTGAGTGGGGGTCGCTTGTGGGGCAGTTCTGGGGTCATTTATGGGGTGTGCGGAGGTCATTTATGGGTCACTAACGAGTCACTTGTGGGGTTCGGGTGTCACTTGTGGGGTGTTAGGCTGACTTACGGGTCACTTCTGCGTCGCTTATGGGGTCTGGGGCTCGCCTGCGGGTCTGGGGTCATTTGTGGGTCACTTATGGGGTTTTGGGGGTCTCTTGTGGGGCAGCGAGGCCTGGTTTGAGCAGAACCTTGGGGCAGCCCTGGAATGTGTGGGGCTGGCGGCCGCCTCGGGCCCCGAACCCGCAATGCAGCTCAAGCTGACGGCGCTGCTGAGCCAGAGCCTCTGCGTGAGTGGGGCAGGATGTGGGGCAGGATGTGTGGGGCAGGATGTGGGGCAGGATGTGTGGGGCAGGATCTGTGGGGCAGGATCTGTGGGGCAGGGTCTGTGGGGCAGGG